GAGGGTGTCTATGTCGTTCCCGGTAATAAACATATCTGTATCGAGATGGTGGTCGTACGTGTGAACGGCTACAACCACATCCGCTTGGGGCGTGTGGTACAGAATTTCCAATATTGGATACACTCGCGCCGTATGAAGGCGGATTATATCTATCACGACATCTTCGCCGTGCGCGGATCGATGGTGCGGTAATTGTTATCTCTTAGGAAAAACCATTTGCGTGCGCTATTAGCTCTTGGAAGAAGCAAAGTTTCCACATTTTTCTTTTACACTTCGCCTGCTTACTGCTTTTTCCACACACCCTTAAAGCAACAGTCGTAAACACTTTAATTATTTTACAAACTATTTTATAATGATATCAGATTATACCCTTCAGTTACTTTATAAAGATATCTATAGTAAACGTCTACACTTAAGATTGCGTCTTAAATATTCGCACGTTCTCCGACAATGAAAACTCGCGCTTAACGAGAGAGTGGGTGATGAGAATAGCAAGATGAAATGGGCCTTGTCGTCGGGCCACGAAAAGAGGCGGGCGGAATGTGAAGGTCTGGGTTGAGCAAGAGGAGTTTCAAGCGAGAAAAATGATACTTTTCATGCCGGAAAATAAAATGAGTCATTCAATGAAGTGGTCGTAGTGTCGGCGTAACGAGTCGGGGTAAAAACGGGGCGAGAGGTCGCGGTTCCGAGCCTTCCTCTCCTGTTGTCCCTCGCTTCATGTAGCCGCCGTTCTTTTCTCGCCGGGTCTTTCTCTTCCTTTCTCCCTATCCGGCAAATAGATGGGCTAAATTGCGCTCTTGGCGCTCTTGACTTTTAAACCCGCTAGGCGGATCTGTCCAACTATACTTACTTTTAAATGTCTTCCCTGACTGGGATTTCAGCGGTGTCGACAACGATTGCCGACGCTCGTCGGCGACGTCGCACTGACGACGCGGGTAATGACGCGACGCCTCACGGATTAAGCCGTTCGAGGCTTACGAGCCGGTGATTACGACGCCTGCGCGATCATCAGATGGGCAATTACGTCTCCGTAAACTGCCGCCGTTGCCTGTAAACTTGCCGATTTCCCCCGGTCATATGACGCGAAATGTTCTCTCATACAGGATCAGAACGAAGATCAGGGATTACATAGATACCTGACGGACGTGACATAATTACTTATACTCTCGCGATTAGACAATAAAGCAATAAAAATTGAAAAATCTAAACTGTGCTTTCAAAAATATGCAAATCTGTACGAAAAAAAACCCTTTACCTCGTAATTTACCACATATAATTATATCCTATGGTGATTTTAATTTATGTACCTCAACCGTATGATTTTTATGAATAGTCTGAAGGAAGAAAAATATGTAACAGAATAAATGATACTGTAATACAATGGAAAACAACAAATGAGAAGTATATTATCTTGTTAGATGAAAGAATCCAACACGGAAAAAAATAATTTTGCTGTGATAGCAAAATCGCCGTTGCTACTGCATATTCGTAGTAATAGCAATAAAATTTAGTTGATAGAACTAATTTTACGAATTATTCGTCATTATAGCAAAATCTATTTTGTTGCGAGAATAGAACAAAATTTGCTGAGTGTATTTGTAATTACAATCACATAAATTTGCTACTGAAGCAAAATAATATATTCTTAGCAAATACATTTGCTGTCACAACGAAATCCCGATACGCCTGATTCCCTCCTAAATAGATAGCACTAGTACCACATACTGCCGCGACGTGGCGACCGGCGCGTCTTTCTCGTAAGTAAAAATCGTCCCGTATTAGTATAAAAGGCGAGCCGATATGATGCGAGAGCGAGTTGTCTGGATCATGGATAGACCTCAATAACCTGAATATACTTTTGATGACTATGTGATTTAACACAATTTAACAATTAGGTACAAAGTGAATTTTTTAATAGGAAGCCTATTGATACCCCACCCCATATTAAAAACTGTAAGGAGCAACAAAGGGCCCTGTCAGGGTTCAGCCCTGTTCAGGGCTGCCTGAACCCTACTACTGCTCGGGATAATTTTGTTAATCCAGCAAATTATATCCAGCAAATTGCGATTAGTATTCGTAACAAATCTTCTTGCTGTCCATATAATAACGAACAGATTTTGCTACAACAGCAAAAAATCTGCAAATTATTTTTCTCCGTGAAACTTTGAATCTTATTTAACGTCCTTTGTCCGCTTTGAAGAATGATAATACACGACGTGGTGTATGCCAAGATGCTTACGTTACAAGATATATGCGAGCCGAGGAAGTTGGCGCGCGCGACGAGACAATTTCATCCGACGATTATCAATTCGCGACACGTTACCGTGACGTGACGGACGCTTAAAGAAACGCCATTGTCCCGCGCGGCTGGTCCACAAGCGGGCTAGGATTTAATAACGTTGAGAGACAGGCTAGACGTTGTGCACACATCGGGATTGGTACACACAGCTTTCGGGCGTCTTCAATATCTGAGCAGCTCAGGAGCAGTATTGTCTAGGGCAAGGACGCGGTCCCGTTCACTTTGCTTTATGACTGTCTCGGCCGATGACGATGATGACAAGCATTATGCAGTGGATAATGGCCCCTACTGCTGGGCTATGCGCCTGCAAAGAAAGTGTACCCGAACAGACGTGTTCTGTTATCAGCTGCGTTGTACTTGATCGCAAAACTTTGCCCTTGACGTACAGTCTTATTCATTAATATTAGACGACTTTAAACCGGCTGGGTGGTTTAATTTAACTGTTTATTCCAACGTTTCGACCGTCCGGATTGTGGTCCCTAAAGACCACGTTGGAATAAACTGTTAAATTAAACCACCCAGCCAGTTTAAAGTCGTCTAATAAGTTTTCTTCCTGTTGTTAATCAACTACTGGTAATATTCTTCTTGTTATTCATTAATGCCTGCACCTCAGTTTTACTAGGATTCACATTTTCATAATCTTTATTCCCGTCTATACATCGATGAATTTCAGGCTGCAGCTCGCGCAGCTTCTGTAGAAGTTTGTGGTAGCGCGCGCATACAAACTTCAGTGATTTGTGTAGATGAGAAAAATGATGATAAAAATGCAGGTCCAGGCATTAGTGAATAAGAAACTGTACCTCATATTCTTTCGATTTGTCGATATCAAGATTGTTCAACATTCTCTAACATGTTATTCCAATCCGTGAGACACTCGGAATGAACATATACTTTAAGATTTCAAGAGCACGTCGTAGAGTACGCGAGAAAATGGGTACCGTTCTGCAGCGGTCGACTTTCGGTGAAACGCCGTGGTCTTTCGATCTCGCGAGACAACTAATTTGAGCGCATAGCGTAACGGCGAAATTTGACGAGGAAAAATGAGGTAGCGCGACGGATGGACGAAGGAATGCTCATGTCCCCGTCGTCCTCGGCGCCGTGGCATCCACGAGCCGAGAGTCGGCCGGGCGAACGAGTACGAGTCCTATTCCAATTCCAGCAAGTTAATTGGAATTGTTTGCTGCAGACACCGCGAGCCGCTTGCCCTCGCGCCCTTCTGAATCCTATACCTCGAGCAGCACTTTCCTTTGTCCCTCCTCCCCCCCCCCCGTCTGCTGCTATCGTAGCTTCAGCATGAAACTCACACCGGCACGGCATCGCCACGCTCATACAGTCCCTGACATCCTGAGAGGAATTAATTTCTACCCGGTGCTCGCTAAAACCTCCCTCTCCCCCGTTAAAATGCTTACCGTCATTCTTTCGAGCTAGCCAAACGATCTTATCAGAAGAACGTGTAACGTCTTTACTATTTCCGTAATAAAAATCCATTTAACTAATTATTGTAAGGGTGGCGGGATTCAAAGTCCTAAAATTAATACTATCGAATTCATATAATAAGCACGACCAAATACATTGTACAAACTATTATAGATTTGATGATAGTCTTGGAATTTAAATTAAAAATTAAAATTGGTAATGTAAGTACAGGATTTATCTAGTTGATAAAACATTTTATTCGTAACATTTGGTAGATTACGTATACTTAAATAGATTTATATCGGGTTTTATTACGGTGATTATATACACATACATGTATATGGTATGTCTAATTCTTCTGTTCCTTAGAAAAGTAATCGCACTTATTCGTTGAAATCTGGCGATGAATTATTCCCTCGTATTAGGCAAATGACGCGAATCGTTTAGGTGGCTCTGAGTGTACGAAAGAGGATAGCAATGAATTTTGCATATCGCCGTTTTTGCACTTTCTATTTTGAAATTTATTCCGCTGGTACAATCACATTCTTATAAATATAAGATTAGAGCAGAGCGATAGAAGACATCGATTTCCAGCTTTCTTCAAATATCGTGTTAATAGAACATGCACTTTATTTGTGACAAACGAAGGATTCTACAAAATAATTTTAATATCTCGCAACAAGTATTAGTATTCGACTTTTCTGGGAAAATGGCGAATAATTTACATGATAAATATTGTATCTCACGAACATCTATTATAGGCTTATCGAGTTGTAGTGATTTGGATATTTTTATTTAAATTAAAAAATAAGATACAACCTTTATACTATAATTGTGTAAAGGCAATTATGAAGATAAGTTCTTGATAAGATTAGTCACACAAATATATTGACTTCTATAAATACATATTGATTGCTTTTTAATCTTCAATGCGATAATATCACGCTAGTTACATAAAAGCTAAGTGATGTTAACTTTGTAGGTACGTTTAACGTTGATCAGCTAAAAAAAACACGAGAACTAAATTAAAGATAAGAATTACATGCGAAGTTAAAATGCTGTTCGTATACGTATACTTTTCATGATGTTGAATATACAATAAATAATGATTTTAGCTATTATATATGCATTACATAGTTCAATTAACAATTAAAATTACTAAAGGTGTTAAATCAATAAAATGAAAATATTAAGAAATTCTCTCTCTCTCTCTCTCTTTCTGTTGATATTTATTTATTTATATTTAGAGGTATATGTGAGCAGAAGGGAAATAAAATAAGAGTTATTTACTACAATATAAAATAATGAATTTATTACATACAAAGAAATGGTTGAACTTTTGCGTTATACATTATTACATTAGCGTGTAACTCGCCAGATAAATTGCAAATTACAAATATTCAGAATATTGTAAATAATTTTATTTTTATTCCATGTAACTGATTTTAATATTATTTAAGGCCAATCATTCTCACACTAAGAGCTACCGAGCCTTCGATTTCCAATCCCTTTCCCAGAGTCTTTGTGATAAAATTTTTATAGGGTTTACTCCATACTAGATCAATGTAGATCTGCCCCATTTCATCAGATGTAATGTTTCTGATGAACTCAACGAAAGCTTTAGAAGTTCGCATCTTCTGTTTGTAAAGAGCGTCAATTTCGTTCAAAGGTAATATATCGTAAAGATCCTTGAGCATTCCTTTCATTCCGTCGCCAATCTTCTGCGGCTTAATTAGAGACTTGATAAAACTGTCCACCTTGGGTGGAACATATTTTTCCATGCCGATAGCCTGATGCAGTGCCTGGATCATTTCAATAACAGGGATTCCAGCCTTCTCTAAATGTATCACGAACGCTTGAAATTCCTTAGCAGCTTCGAGGTTGCGCAGCAGATCGTGGAATTCAGTTTCGAACATGTACATGAAAGCTTTTTGTACTTTTTCGTCTTCGTTTACATACTTGATTACTATGTCGGTATAGTTTTCCATAGGGATAAGCATGGCGAAATCTATAAAGTCATCCATTAGCGTTTTAGGAGGACCGCTTGGTACATTGATACCGAAGACGACGTACAGGATATCTCTCACAATTTTTAAATTCACCGACTTGGCCTCGAGACTACTTATGATGTATTTGGCGGCCTTGCTTTCACACATTTTGTTAACGATCTGTTGGAAATTATCGGACTTAAGTTGATTGATGAAGTTGACGAAGACTGTAGAGACTTTTAGCTTATCCACGTATATGCTAATAAAGACATCATAGTCGAGATGTTTTTTGATGTCTATGAAGAATCCACGAACTCCGCCGGTTCTTTTCAAAGGGCTCACTTGAGAGCTAGGTGGTACGAGCTCCTTGATGTCGAGTGCTTTGTTTATCGCGTTCATTATATGGTAGACATAGATCCCTTCCTTATGCAGATAGTTGAAGAGGTTGATCACTTCGGGAATGGCTTGGAAATCTACCAGCAGATCTTTGATTACAGTTGTATTACCCAACTCTTCGAGAAAATCTTGTACTTCATTATCATGTATCACATAATCCACAGCGACTTCCAAGATGTTTTCAATAGGAACTAAATCTAGAATATCTTGGAAATCCTCGTAAAGAGGACCATGGCCGAACTCCGGGAACTGATGAGCTTGTCCTTGACCGATAATGGCCAGGACGGCACATAACCCCAATGTTAACTTCATCTGCAAATTAATATCGAGTGTGTCACGACATATCTTTTAATCTTTAATTCTTTTCTCATAAACATGACGCAATAGAAAGCATTATTTTGCGAAGTACATCAGTGTTTTCCATCAATGATTAATTTTAAAAAAAGATATATGTAAATCGAGAACTGTGTAGTTAAATTGTTATTGAAAAATCTAAATCTGCACTGAACTGTAGTTCATTGAATAATTAAAGTGAGGGAAGCGGTAATTTATATAAGTGCAATTAAAGCGCTCAATATGCTATATGATGAAACCTACCGTGGTAGCTGTGGATGCGTGGCAGCTACAGATTGACTGACAACTGTATGAATAATTAGCTTACATTTATATGCTGGTAATATCAAGCTACCCGAAATGATTACACAGAACCAGATAAGAAACCAGAATACGATATCAGATTTAGATATTGTTCCATGCAAAACTCTAGGAATTATTTGATAAGCTTTTAAGCGTAAAAACATATGTTATCTACGTACAGGCGTACGTGTGCATGTGTGTGTGTGTGTGCGAGCGCGCATGCATATATTTCATTTTATATGAAATAATTGTCTTTGATATTCAAAGGCTATTTCAGTTTTAATAGTTCGACTTGTTTCATCTTATAATTTTAATTTTCTGTTATTATCCGCCTATCACTTATGATGTAATTATTTGTAAGTTGTGTTATCTCTTTGTTTTGTGCAATATCTTATTGAGTGGTAATTAATGAGGTGTTTTATTCCGTCTAATCTTAAAATCATAGATTACGTTTTCTACGTCGAGAAAAAACAATATTCCCCCCTTTTAGATTTTGTATCGTGAAATTTGTTAAAATATATCCATGATTAAATTACGTTTTCTCTTTCTGGAAAACTGTTCAAAAATTGATGATAACCATGTTGTTCGCATTATATTTCCATGAACATACTTTAAACAATTTATCAATGATAACAACTTTTCCCGTTATTAAATTACATTTATCCAAGATAACACTTAAAAAACAATTTATTTCTCGGAAAATATTTATCTCTAAATTTGTAGTAACGCGGCAATCATTAAAAATAACGAGATCAAAACATAAATCTATTGTTGATAATATTAGTCCGATACGTAATAAAAAGATGAAAAACACGATATGCCTTTATATTGCTATGTTTCTTTGTGTTAATAAAGGATACAGAATCCCATGTGTGTGCAAAAAATATTAAATATCATATATATGAAACATCAGGTACGTAGAAAGCATTAATTATCAAAGTGTTAAAATAAAAAAATTCTATTAACGAGTATTGCCCCCATTTTGCTAAATAACAATATTTTCACTGGAATTTTTAATTTGGCAAAGCCAAATTAAAGAGGGAGTGATATCAAAATAAGTTTTAATTTAGCTTTAGTAAAATTAATCTTATTACAGTAAGTGTGGATCATATTATAATAGAATTGTTTTAATATAATAACAACTTTCTATAACTAAAATCTAATAAAATGATTTGCCGTTTTCAATAAAAAATTGCGTATTGCAAAGTAAACAATACGAATCACTGTACTTGTTATATCCATTGACTTATCTGCATTTTTCCAAAATCATAGCAATCTTATCTAATCCTGTAGTAACTGGTTTATCTCTAACAAGATTAAGATAACTGCTTTTCGTTATATAAATCTACGGGAACTACTTGCGAATGTCACTGTTCTCATTCGTAGCTGTGCCACGGTGAGTAAAGGAAAATCTCTTATATATAAATCAATATACATGTATATATAAGAAATAGATAAAATAAAATTGTATTTGCTTTAAAGAAGTAATCCAGTTAAATAATAATAATTATTTCTTTTTATAATTTAACTTGCATTTATATATCATATAATTGTACATGAAACAGTTTTAATTAAAAAGATTAATGTATTTTTCACAATCATCTTTTTATTGCGTTATACTCATAAAGTGTACTTTCTAATACATTCAATAGAAATTTCATACCCGTGAATATAATATATTTATAGATGAAGGTTACATCAACACTGTTGGCCATCTTGGCTATAATTGGTCTTGGACAAACTCATCAAGTCCAGAATTTCGGCAGCGGTCCTCTTTACGATGATCTTTCTGACTTCGCAAAGTTAGTCCCTGCTGAAAAAGTTAGCGCTATTCTAACGGAGTACATAACAGAAGATGCCGAAGTACAAGAAGCTATTACTTATCTTCTAACTTCGACTATATTACCAGACCTGGTGAGGGATGTGGAGGCCATTCCTGAAGTGATGAACCTCGTCAACTATCTGCATAAGGAAGGACTCGACGTTTACCTTGTACTAAACGAAATTAACAAAGCTCTCGGTCTCAAGGAACTCGAACCACCTCCTCGCCAATTGTATTCTCCGATTGCGCAGAGGACTGGCGGGATTGCAGGGCTTTTCAAAGACATCGGTAATGTGCTTCCTCTTGACGAGTTCATTCATACCTATGCGCAGAAGTTAAAGACCTCAACAGCGTTTGGTGGCCTCATCGGTCAACTCAAGTCCGACAACTTCCAGCAGGCCGTAAACAAAGTCTACAATGTCAAATCCGTTCAGATCATCTTGAATGGACTTAAAAGCAGCGGAGTGAACACGCAAATCGCAGCGGATCTCTTGTTTATAGTCCTCGGCATCACTGTACCGAACGACGTTTCTGTTTACGTACTCCAGGAGCGTACGCTGGACGAAGAATTCGAGGACTTTGTGAAACTCCTTTCGGTGGATGAGATTATTGAGATAGTGATCAAGTATGCAACCAATGATGAAAAAGTAATAAACGCTCTTCGATTCATGCTTACAACTGAATTCCACTCTATGCTGCGAGAGATCGAAGCTCTTAATCCACATCAAGCTTTGGTGGTATATCTGGAGAAGGCCGGATTACATGTTATCCAGGGTATCCAACTGTTGCACGAAGCCATTGGTATGGAGGATTATGTGCCGCCCAAAATAGACAGCCTCTTCGAGTCTCAAATTGGAGTACAGAAGGTCGGCGACGGAATGAAAGGAATGATCGAGGAAATTTACAATACTCTACCTCTTGACAAGATTGACGCTCTTTATAAGGAGAAGCTGCAGAATTCGAAGGTCTTCGCTGACTTTGTCGGAAAGATAAAGTCTCCGGATATGCAAAAATTAATCAATGACCTGTACGGTAATGCAACCTATAAAAATTTTGTCATGAAGAGCAGGGAAAAGGGATTGGAATTTCAAGAACTGACGAAACTTACCGCTAGAATATTTGGACTTGAATTCCCATACTAAAATTATGTATAATTTTTTAAACGCCTGTTTTAAACGTGTGCCCTTTTGTCTTATGCCGTTACATTGATGCATCTAATAACAAAATGTCATTTTTTAATTAAACAATTATTTTTTTAAATTAATTACAGATAATAATTTTGTTGCTTTAATTAACAAATTATTTGTTTTATGTGATAAAAAGATCGAAATAAAGAGCAAACTTATGTTATAACTATATGATATATTTTTAGATCGCTCCGACTTATAAAATTTAGTCCAACTGACTTTCCTTAACATTCTATTCCCAACTTAATAAACAGATTTTCTTCTTTAAACACTTACTTCTCTGTTTTATATGTACTTTTTCTTTAGTTTCTGTCACAGGAAGACAATTTCACATTATTTCTATGCTAGCCAGTTATGCGTGATTATGCAATTGTGTGATATACGGAAATTTATTTACTTAAATAAAATTCTAAATTTAATAATAATATTCAGCCAAACTTGCTAAACTATAGAAAGATTTTTGTAAATGTTAAAGAAAGATGTTTACCGGTTTCATAGTCAGATTTTATATTTAAGATGGTCTTAAGATCATCTTTTAGCTAATGACTCTGTTTTACAGTATCTTAAGATAAATTTAAGGCGGACTTAAATATAAGATCTGACTTTATACTCTGCCAAGTTCATTTTTACTTCTTTCATTTATATTCATATGTGTACTAAACCAAGTGAACATGCTAACCATATTTCTAATTAGCTCGAACCTAATGTGTTATAATATTTATATTTCCCAAATGCAGTTGATCATTAGGTCGATTAGTTTTCTCTCTCGCCGACGGCCTTCGCATCTAAAAGTCGAACTATTAGCATTTCAATTGTAAGATTACTTATCCGTAAATGTGGTAAATGTCACAAGTGTTTTTTAACAATGTTAATTTGCATTTTAATTAAAATAATTAATTATTTTTAATACGTAAGTAAACTTAAAAGTGAAGGAAGTAAATGTACATTTTATTCTTAATAAATTTCTTATTAATACATTTTTTCATATTACGAATCTTGAATAATGTTTTGAAATAAAGTCTATAGATCATCAAAGTAATATTTCTTCGTCTTTTTAATGTAATATGGAAAAGGAACTAGTTAGAAAGAAAAAAAGGCGTAGGATATGTATAAGAAGATGAACTTCTTATTTATTAATTTGTACAAGTGAAGTACACAATTTTATGGCCGAATAATATTTTTTTAGATTGATGAAGATACTATTGACGGATTTAACAAGAAAAAAATTCGTTGTGCCACATTATTTAACTGTTTCCAATGTAACGTTGACATTTATTACACATAGTAGGAAGGAATATCGATACCGAGGATAGTCTTCAGGATATCCCTGACGAGTTTAAGATCAATTTTCGCGTTCGCAGCGTGCTTCAAAAGCTCCTGGAATTTAGGATTGGCGTGAACCTTGTTGACGAGTTGCTGGAAATTCGGAGATTTCAGTTGATTGACGAAATCTTGGAACACCGTGGAACTTTGCATCTTCTCGTGGTAAAGGGCGATAAGTTTGTCCTTAACGGGACTAATAACGGCCTTGATATCATCGATATATCCGCGGATTCCACCAGTGATCTGTGTATCAATGGCAAAGTTGACCTGAGTAAGTCCGAGCCAGTTGTTCAACATGTCCTGCAGTTTGTAAACGTCGATGCCGGCGTTATACATGTACTGCATCAGAGCTTGCATCTCAGGCAGAGCTTGGATCTCTTTCACGAGCTGCTTGAAGCCGTCGGACTTGAAATATTGAATCATAGCTTGGAATTCCGCGTCCTGGGCATAGTACTGGAGGGTAATGGCAGCTATTTGTTCCTGCGGCAGGATGTTCAGGAAATCTTGGAGCTCCTTTGCGAGTTCACCCCTGCCGACATTGGGGATTTGCCATGGGGCCGCGAAGGACGTAGCCACGAGGGCCAACAATGCCAATGCGAATTTCATCTGCAAAAATTAATTTTACTTAACATCATTGATGTTCACAGATACATTACAATTTTGCACATTATAGTTATATCTTGTTATGTTGTAAAATCATGGTAAATCTCAAAGATCAACTTAAGCTATTAGCGAATTGCTCGCACTAGTGCGCACTAAGGCCAGTTTACAGTCAATTTTTATACTTAACTTTGTCTTAAATACACGTACAAAGAGTATTTAGCCAAGAAACGATCCGCGTGGATGCCGTACAGATCATTTTACTGGCTATGAAATATTTCAAGAAATATTTTAGACTATTCTCAAATGTAAGAATGGACTGTAAACAAGACTTAGTGTGCACTCAGTGCGCACTAGTGCAAGCAACCGAATTCGCTATAAGACTAATTAGTAAATGAAATTTATTTTACTAAGAAACACTATTTAGTCAAACAAGTTTTGACTAAGTAATGTTTAATTTTTAATATATATATTATTTTCCATTTGTTTAAATATTTAACATGTATAATATTTTCCAATTATTTTACAGAGAAATTATAAGGAAAAATAATTGTGTACAATACTAAATTAGGTATAAATTAATTACTAAAATGATGTAAATAATAATATTAGCTAATTCGTACGTACAATAATTACGTAAATGTCTAATTTATAGTTAAAATTTAAATTGTGTGAACCCACACAAATATATTTAACTAATGATGTTTGTACTCACCTTAGAAATATTGTGATTGTGATACTTCTGCTTGTGACTCAAGGAAGTGTGCTTTGCGATTTCTGCCGCTGGTTTATATACACGCGAAGTTAATAACCCTTGATCTTTTGATCCACGATAAGATTATACAGATAATCTGAATGTGACCGTGGATATTTTTAAACTTATGTCTTTTTTTTAATTTACGGAAAGAATATACAATTAAAAAGTATATAATTAAAGAGGATTGCTTTTGTTATTTATTTGAACGAGTCATTCGCAAAAAATTGATTTTTTCAATAGCTCTATATTTTTTACATTAATAATCTAAAAAATAAAAAATTTTGAAACATTATACTCTACATTTTTTTGTGATATTGAATTTGATTTCGCCATTTTTTATTACATTAAGATTATCAAAGAAAATGTGGATCAAATCAATTTCAATCTCTCTTTCAAAATGCAATCGGTAAGATCTAGATGAGTTATCGTGAAAAATTAACCATTGCTCCGAGTTATTTCTTGTCTACAGCATACAGATGCTATACATTTCAGTGAATCGCTATTATCTCATGATAAAAGTTTCCAATAAGTCATGTTGCTATTTAAGCGTAGGGAATCTCTATAATTAATATAAAATAAATCTCTGATAAAAAAAATCATATTGCATGGGAGCACTTATTCTGCAACTCTTATTTCTCGTAATACTGTTGCTCTTTTGAAAGATGGATTGACTCCGAACTTGCTCAATAAAAAAACTCGGGCAATATTATCGTTGCATTTTCGTTAGTCCGACCAAAGTTCACCGATCGTAAGAGAAAACGGGTCATGCGCCGTATGTTACGAATGACTCTGGACGCTCGCGCCTATTCGATAAGTATAAAAAGATGATGTTAGCGCAGGTGGCACTAATTTGAAAAAAAAAAGAGGAAACTAAAACATGGTTGAGTCGGTATCCGGTTTTCCGTACTGGAGATGAAAAGAATACCTTTGATGACGAGGTAGCTACGTTTAGGCACGAAGAAAGCAAAACTGTAGAAACGGCATGAAACGGGAGAAGGAAGAGTGTAGAGGCCAACGGTGCTTCCCTAATTAAAATTGTTACAATTTAATAAGCCTCGGAACTCACCATTGGCGCGTCGTAATGGGAAGTCGTGAGAAGAATAAGTGAGATAGAACGAAACGAGGGAGAGACTTCTAGAAGGGGAATAAGGGGAAATCGGACGCTTAAACGAGCGTCTTTGAGGGTTGCGGACAAAGAGACTGCACAAGGGTGAGAAAGGGAAAGGAAAGAGACAAAAGGGGAAAAAGCATAAGGGCGTAGAGGAGAAATCGTCTTCGCGATCTCTTAACTTCTCCACTCAATATGGAGCGTGAATTATACTTTCTTTCTTACGGCAACGCTTTTGCAAAAGGTTTAATGCGATTTTATGATTTTGCTTCCTATTTCTCTTTCATCATCGAGCCACATTGTAATCATTTTTATAAAAATCAGTTTGCGCACCGTAAAGGCAGCTGTTAAGTGAGTCATTTCTTTTTTTCAAAGAAAAGAAAAGAGACATCGCAGAGTCTTCTGTATCGCAATACTATGTTTAATTGGCAATAGCGGTAACATCGGTTTCATAATTGTACTTTGGAGGATCTCCGTTTCCTTCGAAGTTCCACCTGCACAACGGCGAGTCATATCAAATTATTTTCTCCTGCTGGCCAGAAAACTTTTGCCCGATATTATGGCGGCATGTGGCGGTAACAGCCTGCCGTGCCGGTTCTATCGTTACGGACGTAACGGCCTCGAGGATTTTCACAGTAAAACAAGAAGAACCAACTAAGAAAATGTGTTCGGAATTGCATTAAGGCGGCTTTTGCCGCTGGGCAGAGCCCCGCATGTAATCCCGGTGCTCCGATCATAGCTTTACCGGTACGCAATAACGGATGCGAAACGCGTATATAAAGATGCATTTCGGAATCTTTCGGAATCGGGCAGAATTGCAAGATGTCAGAAAACCGGCTGTATCGTAGTATGTTTATAATACCGGCAATTAATTTATAAACGATTAAAAAATATTCCTAATATTTTTAATGAAAAATAATCTTGCATAAAACTTCACACATTTCCTAATCTTTCAATCAATATTTATTTTTAAAATTTTGCTTCATACACACACACACATATGCACGCCGTACGGACTTATCTAGTTGTTTTGTTATCTCTCTGATAGACCTTTTATTCTTTTAAATATTCACGAGTTTAATAGTCGACATTATAACTCCGTTGCATCGCAAGTAATTATTTTATTATTACGTGCATAAGCAATATAATTTTCTGTCATAATTGAAGCATAATGAAGATTTATCGTCAGCGATAAAAGTTATTGTTTTCGAGGGACAAACAAATCGCTTGTGCCACGCGCAATATCACTTGTAAGCATAAAAATAGATACAGCAGCAGATAATATTTCGATTGCTGATTTAAAAGATAAACATTATAAATTATTTTACGTTTATCATTGAACTTCATCAATATGTATTCATATATTACGTAATCGAATTCATATGCATGGACATGCTTAATCTTTTATACAGAAAATACGTTTGATTTTAAAGTCACAATAGTTGTCACATAAAATTTCAGCTTTTCAGAAATCTTAGATTGCTCTTTGTATTTATCATTGTTATTCCTATTAATACATATTTTATTTATTTGAGGCTACACTTGATTTAACATTCGACAGCTAAAGTACAAATAAAATTAATAGAATTAGCAACTAGATTATCCAAGAGCCTAACTTGAAAATTCATTATCTGTTCGTCAATCGCTTTGCAGGTATCAACTAGGAAATCGTGCGCTATCTCTGTGAATCATTAAATGATAGCTTAAATCTGCTTAAGAAAACAGGGGCAAATTTCAATATTAAGATACGATAGGTTTTTACCAGTATGCATCATTATGAGATAAAGCGAATCTCGATTATTGTTCGCTCAAGTATTGTCCGCGCGTTCATTATCACATACATATATCTTGGTTTTTCCGTCGAAAATTGCCCGATGCTTTACTATTGAGGCGCGAGCGATCGATTTCCAAAACGAATGAGAACGAGTGCCAATAAAGGCGTGGAACGAGGGTGCCGGGGCGGACGAAAAAATTTGTGTTTTACGACACGTTATCCGACGGTGACACCGGGAATTGGTGACCGACTAAACTCGGCCAATCGGAAGTCTCTCGTGTTCGATGGCGGAAAAAAGTCCGGCAGCCGCGCGGGGGAGCAAAGCGTTCTTTTACTCCCTTTAGTGTTACGTTCGTGTTACGTTGCTTGCCTTTCAGGGAGGCTCGCGGACAAAGAAGGACTCTGGGACGATTCTATGGTGCCGGAGAAGCAGAGAGGTTGCCCGCTAGAAAGTGGCAGAAAAGGTGGCCGTAACAAATCCTCCGCAAGTAATCGAGGTCGTGCCTCGGCAAGGTTTTACTCTCGAACACTTAACTCTATTGCGATTGGATTCTCTGGCTGCCTGGTGGAGCGCACACTCCACCGCGTCCTGTTTCGTTTTCTCGCTACCCCGCCGCTTTCGCCCCATCGCCGCGCTCGCCGCCCCCTTTGTCTCTTTCTGTGCCGCTCCTCGACCACCTATATCGCGGAACACCTCGGTGGTTTCTTACACGTGGAAACCTTATTACAGGCGACACGATAAAATACCCCCGAGACGAAGGAGACCGTTGCTCGAGTGCCGGCACCACTATGAACTCTGACAGGGCGCAACGGGTAGGGACGATACAACGAGGATTGTACCCCGAGCAGTAATGGGAACTTTTAAAGATTGCACGTGAAGAAGATATATTCGGGAATGCGGGAGGGAAAAGGAGTTTGTGAGAGTAGTATTGCACAGGACAGTGAGGCATTGCCGCCAGCCATCACTATACAGGATACTTCCCGAACGCATGACAATTTTACTTTTAAAATGGCTGTAAGAGTTGGGGGTCGAGTTCTACGTGGACTAGAAAATGTTAACAATTTTCTCTATCTAATCTGCAGCTTTATAATCTTATCTGTATTTTAAAGGTTCTGTCAAAATCGATGAAATTTTTGCAAAAATATATTACTTACCTTTTAATCCTGAACGTTTGATCATTGAAGAAATAGGATTTTTCTTTACAATGGCATTTAATTCAGAAATTGAGACTAAGATTGTTGTGAGAGTCTTTAAATTATTATTCGGTAATATAAGTAACGAGTAAAATATAAAATTTTTGTTTACAAAATGGATAATTATGCCGAAATATTTGTTGAACATTCGTCAGAGTGTCTTTAAAAATAACGATAGTATTAATTTTATTATGGAAAAATGTTAACGCGGCCTCTTCCGTTTACAAAAACGTTAAGTGGAACAAGTCGTATACAAGACAAACAAGAAGAATTGCAATTTTGAAAACTTGGTTATTTCGGGACAAGCGAATGGGAATAACTGAATTCTTAGCGGTTAGAACGGGTGACTTTCGTACCGCAAAGACGCGGGATCGAGGAGAGGAGAGGAACGATAAAGAACCGTAGGGGTTAGCAACCCCGGTGGACGCGCACGAGTTCGCTTGTATTTCAATGTCGGGACATCCGGCCGGGACGACGAGTGATGTGGTCTGCTACCCTCGTACATCCGGCCGTCGCCAAACATTGCCGTGTGCGTTCGCCCTACCGTATGTTTGCGCGGGTTCAACTTTCCTCAGCGCCACGGGCCTGACTGTCACGAGGTGACCGTCTAACGCACGACCCTTCAACCCGTGACGCGCAAACCGCGTCATTGTGGGTTACATAGTAATACACCTGCATGTGCACCACGAAAAATGCTGTGCGAGCAAGGAGAAAGCTCGGGAGCGCAAAGCCGCTGGGTAAAGTTTGTTGACAACGTCTTTGCCGTGTGGCTTTATGATCTAGCCCTTTTACAAATAGATTTAAAACTTTAGAGTAGGATACAAACAACGGAAATAATTTACCGGGAAAATTGTGTTATTGCATATTTGTCGTATAAGCAACTTGGGCGGATCTCTGTAAGATATTTGGAATAAATAATATATAAAT